AAGAGCTAACCCAAAACCCTCCTCAGTTAAAACCTTGGGTTTTCCAACCGTATGGCCTAGATCGATAAGCACAATCTGGTATAAGCAAAAGTCATTTGCTTAATATGGTCCTCGAGGGACCACACTCCCACTGAGTTTATGTTTCACTATAAAAGTATTTCAATACACACTCATAAGACCTTTAAAGGCCACATAAACCCAACATAAATGAGCTCTATCTGTCTCCCGTGGTTGTTTCAAAGACGATTTAAGCTTGGGTTAAGTTTTTGGTTCATGGACTATGACTTTGTTAATGTTACTGCCTGATCAACCTCTTGATTTGATGTGGCCAGTGGCTAATCTTTAATGGAATTAGCCTTAACCATTGCCCTCTCATAGCGTGAGGAGTAAGGGCTAGTGCCTTTTGCTGCAAAAGAGTTTGTGTTCAGGTAATGCACCTTTTATGGCCATCCTAATCGTGGATGATTCAGAACTCATGCATTCAACAACTTTTGTTTCCGCTTCTCTGAACCAAGTGGTGAAATCGGTGAATGATTCTCCTAGGTTCTACCTCATAGCAGCTAACTCATCAAGGGTCATAGGCAAGGCTTAACCCCGTGATACTGCGTGATGAAGCATCTAAACTATTTGTTAGGGATCTGATTAAAAAGGTTGTTCTTCACCTCGTCATTCCAGGTCAATGGTTCTCCCAACATAGTGTGTTGGAACATAGCATTGAGCCATAGTGGCTTATCCTTTAGAGATGTTAGGAACAGAAGATAAGTGGTTACATGGCTTTTCGGGTCATCCTTTCTACCGAACTTGTTTTTTAATTCGGAAATGATGAATTCAGTGAGAGACTTTCTACATCCCCTAAAGTAGCCTTGACATAAGATTTTGGAGGCAAAATATCGGGAACTCCCGTCTTAGCCACGGTATCTTGAAAGCTTTTCAAATGCCTTTTAGGTCATCTAACTCGGTTGATTGTGCATTGTGGTTACACCAAACAATCAGTTGCCTGATTGGTTAAAATGAGTTGGTGGCATAGGCAAGATAGACTAGACTAGGTAAATTTGGACGGGTGGGGGTTTGAAAGTGATAACGTTGGGTTGACAATCAAAGTTGGCTTAATCAGGGCTAAGATACATTAGGGAGGGACTCGACCACTGGATAATAAGTCAAGACCTATGGGTCACACCTCGATCTCGGCTCTCGGCCAAAGACTTGGTTTATGGGGCTTAGCCCGATATCGCTCCCTTGAAAAACCGCATGTGTGTGTATACACGTTGTGCGGATAATTGCCACTAGTGAGAGAGATTTTGGTGGCGAGGGAGTCAAACACCTACCTCTCGTAATTGGGTTTGTGGACCGACCCAGGCTCGACTAGCCCTCATAGATCAGCGCGAAAGTCCACTGGCCTTCTCGACACGGTCTGGGTCTCGTTTCATTTCTCTAATCACACTATACTTGATTCTTTCATGCCTTTGATATGAAATTCGAGGTTGATAGCTCTTGATTCATTCCGGTTAATGATGGTTTTGGGGTAATGGGCTTAAGTAGGCTAAGCTTGGATCTTGAATGGGGTGTAAGAGGGTGTAGATAAGAAGAAAAATCAAAGACAAAGAAGAAGAAAAAGAAGGGAGGAAGAGGTTCACTCTTCAATTGATCACTTTCCTAATTTGGATGGTCCTCAAAAAATGGGATTTTGACAACCGGAAAGTGTGCCTTCTTTCGAACCTTAATAGGATACCTTTCCTACCTCCATTTTGAGCAAATAAGTATTCAAAACGAAGCCCTTTGAGTCACGATAGCAACGTACCTAGCCTTAAGATTATAGGAGTCCAAAATCTTGTGATACAGTTGCTGGAGCAACACCATACAATGCTGAATTTTTCTGCAAGTTCATGGTTTTCGGAAACCTTCTCTTTTCTCCCTATTCGTGGGTCCCTATAGTGTGTTCCACTTGTCAAATCGTAGATTTTGATAAAAGGAACAACATACTAGAATTTGGGGTAGATCCTCTTCAAGACCAGAGGGAAATAAGCTTCACAAGTTGCCATGTTTTTGGAAAACACAGTTACTATAAAATAATTATTCAAATAGGTTCAAGTAAATAGTAAAAATCTTGTCATTCATGTAAAGTACGACCTAGAAGTCGGATTAATCTGAAATTCAGTAAGGTGGCTATTCGCGACCTTTTGAATCCATTGGTGGTAGTCCCATAGTCACTAGAGGTTTCTAGAGTAGAGTTATAGCTAAAGTGCATTATAGTCATGTTAGTGACCTGGGCCAAAAATTGATTTTGTACCTGTTTTCTCTATTCATGCCCTAATTGGACAAAACTTTGAGGGCATCCTTGGATTTTCATATGATACTCATATGCTTGATTTGGGGCCAAGATAACCTCTCTATTATGGCTCTTCAAAATAAGGCTTATTTGTACGGGGCTTTTATAGTCTATAAATGTGACTGACACCTATAAGCTTGAATCGCAACCACCTCCACTATTATTCTCATCGAAGAATTCGTGCATCAAAAATACGCACCAACACTTATGGCATAGCCTGAACTGACTGAGTAGGCAGTTGGTAAGTCTAGATTGTTGGCATAGGCTAGACTAGCTAGCGAAGGGGTAAGTTTAGATTGGCAGCATATCCTGGACTAGCTAAGTCGAAGGTTATAGACTTGATCCTGTGGTACAACCAGGTTAGGCTACACCAAAGACTAGTAGGTTTGTGGTGATGGGACATCCAGAGCCAAATGAGTTCTCAGATGGTGTTATTGAGCAAGTGGGGCTAGTTGCATCTGCGTATGATAAGCTTGAGCCGGTTGGACTAACTAAGCTTGTCGTGTCCATTCATTTCAAGGTCAAGATAATCAATGGGAGGATTCTCCTATGTCGGAACATTCTCCATTGTATGATTTTTAAGATGCACCTTTCCTCCTTAGTATAAGGTTGCAACCTTATACAAACTTTTTCCCTCAAATATTGGGTCCTTAAAGTGTTCCTAGATTAGGTATGAGGAGTAATTAACGGTATGCACTCTCGAGAGCATAAAATATTTTGCAATAACACTAAATTACTAAAAGGCCATTGCCACGGCAACCTATACTTAGTATACAGTATGCTCCAGCCGGAACATGCTATCCGCGCTCACAAGCAAATACATCCCCCAAATTCGTCCGATCCACGTGCGAGGAACTTGCACAGTGACAGAGCCAGGAGGCAGAAATAACAGAAATGGGTTTCAAAATCAAGGCCTACTTTCATTGCAAAGAAAAGCAGAGAGAAAATAAAAGATCTCACCTCTCTTCTAGGTTTTCTTTGGTATCCTCTATCCTTTTGATCCACTCTTAAAGAGAGACAAGGAGAAATTTTAGAGAGAGTAACAGAGAGGAAGAGAGGAAGAGAGAGAAATGGCCTACAGAGCAGACGAGGATTATGATTACCTGTTTAAGGTGGTTTTGATTGGGGATTCAGGCGTGGGTAAATCAAACCTTTTGTCCAGATTCACGAGAAATGAGTTCAGTTTGGAGTCCAAATCGACAATTGGGGTTGAGTTCGCGACAAGAAGCATTCACGTAGACGATAAGGTCGTCAAAGCTCAGATTTGGGACACAGCTGGCCAAGAAAGGTAACTTCTATCAATATTCAATAATCATTTGTTTGTGAGATCAGATTGTGCTTGATCTATTCTTTGTTTTGTTATTGCTTGATATCAGGGGTTTCACTGTGTTTTTTGGCGGAATCAATGAATTATGGCTGAGATCTTGTTCCTGAAACGAATTCTTGGTTTTTTTTTTCTTTTTAAATTTCCCTGTGAAGAAAATCAGTAAAATGCATGCCTGTTGTGTGGTCTTGTATATCGTTTCTGTCTGTTACTTATCTTTGAACCTTTCAGTTTTGGATTTGATGGATTAAAATTCAGATCTATGTAGGTTAGGTTGTAAATGCTGTGATTTTATGATCCGGATTAATATTTTTTTCTGATTTCATCATGGAGAAGTTCATGTAAAGTTGCAACCTTACTTGTAGAAGTAATTTACACCATCCATTTTATTTGTATGGTGTAGATTTGGTGCTATCTTAAAAGGCATGTCACTTTTTGGCACTGTATCAAAAGATATGTCAAATCTACACGGTTCAACTAAAATGGATGGTATAGAACATGCCTAAATACCCACATTTCTTTCAGTATTGGTAGCTATTATAAGCAGATCTCTCCTCTCTTTTTTTGTTTGTGAAATGTAGCATGTTGAGGAACTAGCTTGCGTTGAGGAACTGGCCTACAAGCAATACGCCAAAATTCCTTAGATTTTCACTTCCCATTTTGATTTGACCCCCTTCCCGATAAAATGCTATGCTTGTGCAGTAGGATGAGAACCATCTTATCTATCCCAGCGTTGTTCCATCATCTTATGATCTTTCCAGTTTAAAATCGATTAGTGAGCTTCCTTGTGATTGCTGTATCGAACTTATATACGTTGTCTAGATGAGGTCTTTTACATGAATTCTTTTATATTGTGCCGTATTATCTAAATATGCATCTGGTTTCATGCCTTAGATGGGTCACTAACGAATTATTATATTGTTACTATATTGAAATCTTTTCACCTGTAGGAGGTGCTGATTAAAATCATTTCAAACTATATGGATTTCCTTGTATAAGTTAACCTGAAAATTCCCGTTGATAATTTTTGTTAGATAACTGTCTGTCCATCTTCTTATGTTGGGTAGATGTGAATCTCTCTAATTTCAATAGATGAGTCATCTGTCAACCTGTTAATCCATGCTTCTGTGCAAGTTGTAAAGCTGGGCAGCTTTTCATATCTGCAGATTTTGGTATCGAGTAGAAAACATGTCCTTTCTCTTTTTAACAACCGGGTATAGGGAACAATCAAAAGAAACTTTTGATTATTTTGTGAAAACTTGTTTAAAATGTGATACATGGCTGTTTTACATGATGATGTAGTTTCACTAAGGCTGCAGCCCTACTTATTTTAGTAGGGCTGAAACCATTTGCACCATCCATTTTTTTGGACGGTGGTGCAGATTCGGCACCTAAATCGATGAGAAATCCAAGGCTTTCCTGTGCCTGAGTTTTCTACTCTTAACATTCTCCCTTTTTCTCATTCTCTCTCTATTCTTTTCCTTTTTCTCTCCTCTCTGCATCAAATGATCTCTCTCTCCTCTCTTCCGTTTCGATGGTGGGGCTGTCCAAAATCTTTTGAATGGCCATTGGAGAGCAGATCTAAAACTTGATATGCTAACAAAGTTGTTCACAAAAATTTTGGTGTCTCGCTCATTAGATGGGCTCCATTATTTTTCTTAGACAGAAATTGAGCGCCATCCATGCAAAAAGGAACCTCGTACATTGGAAATGGACTGTGTAGGCTTAGAAGAGTTCCATTAATTGAGTTTATGAAGTAGCAGAAAAAAACTGACATGAAAAGTAAAAGTAAACCAAAGAAAATAGAACTATAAGAAAAGGGATTGTATACAATGAGACCATTTAACTGTTGTATAGGGAGGTCACAATTACTTACAACCATCCGATGTGAAATCTAATAACTTGGGTGTGTCATAAAGTTCGAGAAAATTTCTTTTGAACTTTGAGCTTGGTCAATGAAATAAATGGAGCCACCCAAATTCACTTCCAATGGTCAAGATTAATTGTGACCACCTTGTACCAAAGGTAAATGGTCTCATCATATACTTTCCCATAAGAAAAGGGGTGAAAATCCATGGCAAAAGTCATTGTGAAAAAAACAATTCATCTCCTACATTCCACACCAACCCAAATTTAGAGTAAAAACTGTCAAAACATCACTCAAACGCAACTTTAGACGTCATAGAGAGAGAAACCCACCAAACATCAACTTCACAAGTCTTAGATAGAAACCAACTTTAAAGAGAGAGAGAAACCCACAAGGAAAACACCCCATAGTCTTCCATGTCATCCTAGAGAGAGAGCCCCACCAAAAAACAACTTCAAAAGTCCTAGAGAGAAACCCACAAGAAAAACACCCTATAGTTTTCCATCAAAAGAAGGAGAAAAAGAGAGGGACACACAGGGGGGGGGGGAGGGGGGGGAGGGATCCAAAGCTTGATGCAGGAAATTGAGGCGCCCTGAGAAGTCCCCTGCTTGAAAGCACACCCATAAAATCATCAACCCATATCACCACATGGATCACTATCAACTTCAATCTTTTTCAAATACAACGAATCAACTTTCATCTTCTTCAAAAAGAACCCAGTGGCTAGATCAGGTTGACTCTTTGCTAAAGATTGGAGAGAGAGATGACAATAGTTTGAAAGCATAAAGCTTCAAGAGGAAAACTATGCTGAAACCCATATTTACTAAAAATGTCTTCCTACAAGAAATGTCTCTCTCCTTCATAGATGGTTATTTTTTAAGTTATAATGGATTTGATTCCCTGCTGTTTTACTCTAGATCTTCAAAGATTCCCAGAACTTTATCTGCCTTTCTTCTTGTGGATTTTGGTAGATGATGAATGGGAGGTTTTGAAAGATTTGAAGTGGCCAGAGAACCATGGTGTCTTTTCTTTCTATTTTTCTTTTTTTTGGGTGCTGGGAAAGGGTCTGGTTGAGGGTCTGTAGAGAGACAAACCAATCTGGTGGAGTGAGAAGGGAGAGAGGGGTGGATGAGATTTGGTGGGAAAACATAAGAGAAGAAATACCGGGGCTTCCAGTGCCTCAGTTTCCTCACAGATTGTTGAGCCAAAATCCGCAATCAAAATATTCTGGATGATGAAGGGGCTGCAGCCCCACCTATTGTAGTAGGGATGCAGCCCTACGTAAACATTTTCCTCTACATAATGTGGGTGGTTGGGTTTTAATCCACATGTCAGCTGGAAGGCTCACACTGTTGCAAACTTAAGCTTGTGAATTTGATCTTACCTATCAAACAAATGAAATGTGTTGGCATTGTAGATCATGCTATCAGAGTTGAGCACACATCAAAGAGAATGAACTTTGGGCATTCAGCTTTAGAGAGATTTGGTTCTCTTTCAATTTGATAATTAAAAAATACATGAATTGTTTCCACTCGAGATTCAAATGAACCATCATGTTGCATGGTTTCTTGGAGTTCTTGCTGATTAGTCTTGTGACATTGCATATAAAACTTAGAGAATTAGGGTTTCCTGTTTTGGCATGCTTATCTCCATTATGCTAATGGCTAAGAATTAAGTTGCATGACTTCCGGGTATACTATGTTATGAATTTTAGAATTTATGAGAAAAAAAAGTCATGCTCTAGCTGCAATTAAATAAAGGGTGCAGTTGGCATACGGATGCCTCCGTAGGTGTATAGGTACGGTGCCCTTCAAATTTTATCATGGTATATAAATTTGATGTAAAATGTTTTTAGGATTATCTCAAAATCTATTTTTGTATCTAATTATAAAATTTTAAATTTCAAAAAATGGCTAAAATCAAGTAGATCTATAAACATATGAAAATCTTGAAAATGGACGGTGTAGATAATATGTTGTAAAATGCACTATTTCTGAGATTTAAAATCTTTTTATTTTTCATAGTCATACATCTCGATGTCGAGATGATCAATCAAAGGGTTTTTCAACATTAAAACTACTTTTTCGGATGGATTTTTGAGGGGCGTAGTTCTACATTATAAGGTAGCATCCTTGTATAAACTTTTTCCTTAAAGAAAAGGTTCTGCCTTCATAGTACTGTCTCTCGACAAATCCTGTGGAGGTATGGTTAAAGTTATCCACTATCTGATGAGAGTTGGTCACTATCTATCCAGCATACACGATAATATCCAAGGACATGTTTTCGTGCCTTCTGATCTGCCATTGACATGAGTGATTTTTTCCTGTTCTCTTTGACCTGATAGTTTCTTTTTCCCCTATTAATTGTGTTCTTAGATAGTTTCTTTCAGTTACATATGTATTAAGGATTTAATGATGAGTATTTTTCGTTGTTCAAGTATTCAAATCTACAGGGGGATAGAATCATATTGAAGTTTTCATAAATCAAAATCTTTCTATAGTCTGCAATGCATGCCACTAATTTCATTTGAGAAGGAAATCTATTTTTAGTGATCAATCTTGTTGCAGAAGGTTTCTCTTCTTTGATTAAAAGAATAAGTACTGCCCTGAATGTATTCTATAGTTCTGGGACATGTGGCTACCCTCCTTGTGAACTTTGATTTCCATCGGAATCCTAGCCAAGCTATGACCTAGGCTTGCTAGTCCTACAGTAGGTATTCTCCAGCATGATAATTTTATGATTGTTGATATTAAGTCAAGTTTTTAAAGCTTTCTCAGTTATCAAGATGCATTTCCTTCTTGTATCAGTTAGAATGTACATCAACATACCCCGTTAAAATAGTCAGAACATATGTCAAACCAAATGAAATTTTTTATGCATTTACAATTCTTTGAACTGCTGAAATAATTAAAAAATGGTGGTTGCATGCAGTTCTATGAAGGTCGACTATCCTTGGGTCATATGACAAATTGGTGACAATGGGCAGTTTTCTATATTTACCCAAAAAAACCGTCACTTTTCTATGTCTCTTTATAGAGTTTGCTTCAGAACACTATGAATAATAGAATGGTAAATTTGGAATAACTTGCTGTTTGATTGATCTGACATTCACACAATTAAATATAAATATTTGATAACATTGAACATTAAAAAAGTATTAGCAATAACAAAGAACTATAGACAGTGACCATTCTTCAGCAAATCATGTGGAGAAGCTGACTCTTGTCCAGACAAGGCAGTCATATCTCATTCACCTTGCATGAGAGCATAGCCTAGAAAGATCGTACTACTCTGTTATATTTACCTTGTGAGTTTGTTGAAGTCTTCATGGTTAATTTGCAATTGCATATCTAGGGGTGCCATATTGGTGATTCATATTTAATTACAACAAGCTGTAGCATGAAGTTTTTCAAGGAGTGAATGAGGTCCTTGAAGTATATATATTGATTAAATATCATCCTTCCAAGCAAAGAATTGAAAGGTCCCCTCTTTTCAAATCTTACTTTGAGATTACCAATCAATAAATAAAATGGAATCCCATGATCCTAAAGTTTTAACTGCCCCATGGTGTGACTTTCTTGCACGATCAATCAAATGACAGTCTCAATAATTATCGTCATAATCATATTTTTTGGGATGGCAGATACCGTGCAATCACGAGCGCCTATTACCGTGGAGCAGTAGGCGCGCTTCTTGTGTATGACGTGACACGCCACGTGACATTCGAGAACGTGGAGCGGTGGCTAAAGGAGCTTCGCGACCACACCGACTCCAACATTGTCATAATGCTTGTTGGCAACAAAGCTGACCTCCGCCACCTAAGGGCCGTCTCCACTGAAGATGCCAAGGCCTTTGCAGAGAGAGAGAACAATTTCTTCATGGAGACCTCTGCCCTCGAATCAATGAATGTTGAGAATGCATTCACTGAAGTCCTCACCCAAATATACCGAGTCGTTAGCCGAAAAGCCCTTGACATAGGTGAAGACCCAGCCGCTGCCCCTCCCTCTAAAGGTCAGACTATCAATGTGGGTTCCAAGGATGATGTTTCAGCGGTCAAGAAGGTTGGCTGTTGCTCTGCCTAGAGGAGAGATACAGAGATTGATGCCTACAATGTGAGTTGAGCGTGAGGTAACTTAATTTTGATGCCACTCTTTCTTTTTATTCTTCTGACTCTTCTTTTGTCTTCTGTGTTCGCTTCCTGCCAGGGTATATAGAGAGAGAGAGAAATCGAGTAGAAGGTATTTGTACGGCATTTTTTTGGTGCCCCACCATGTGAATGCATGCTTAATTTTTTTTCTCTGGCGAGCGTGTTACGCTCTCCCTGCATGGAGGTTTTCAACCGAGCAGGTGGGGTAGTTAGAGACAAGAAGAAGAGGAGAAGAAAGGTGTTGTAAAAGTTTTTTGGTTGTTTTGTGTGTCACGATTTAGAATTGGTTTTAACAGACTCTTAGAGTAGATATTATTTGATTTGGTTCATTGACCCCCAAAGGATTTATGGTTTATTGATTTGGTCGAATTGGATTCTGATACATTCATCAGCTTCTTTTAATTCTATCAAAGTGAAGATTGTTTCCGTGGTCTGAACTTTTGCCTACTAAAATCTTACATATGGTCACTAGATACAGTAAATGTGTTTCGAACTGAACTAAATTGTCATTAATGCAAATAGTGTTTGAAAACACAGACCGATGGGTTGAACTGGTGACTCATGCGCTCCTATCCGATCCAATGAGCTGGCTCAGTCGACTCGAGCATCCAGAAATGAAAGAGAAAATATAATAGAACTGATGACAAATCCGAAGTAAGCCAAAAAAAATGATGATAAAAAACGTAATACCAAGAAAAACCAGAAAACCTCAACTCGGCCATTTTGGGGCTGGAATTGAATATACCTGTATTTTTCAAATCCAGCCAAAAAAATGGTGGATCAAGGTGGCATATCTACCCAAAATTGACAATAAACAACCTTTAGCCCAAAATTGACAATAAAAACTTTTTTCTTGAACGAACAGAAGGCCTTCTTTTATAGAAACTTGGGTTTTAAAGCTAATCTGTTATTTTTGGGTTGGGTTGGATGTTAAGACATCTGGCTCATGTTATTTTTGGGTTCGCCTTTGTTTTGTTTGAAAGAATTTGAGAGGAAGAAGGGTACACCCTTGCCGTGCCCAGTGTACATCATGTGGCTTGATTTGCAGTTTTATACAAGGACTCCACTATGGTCAGTGAATAAATGTCCATGACATAAAGGACGGATTTTCCAGTGCCGTCTTCTTCCAAAAATCACCTCAAAAAGATTTTGGATCAAAAATTTGTGGGGCTGATAATCTCAACCACCACAGTCATGGTCATGAATATTAAAAGGTATAGGTTTAAACTTGTAGAAATAAATTATGGGATTTTAGACAAGGGTGTGGTTTCTATAGAACCTAGGCTCTAAACAATCAAATTAGAGTGTACCTTCAAATAGTGTCAAAAAATGTGGTTTCAATACTATAAATTTTGTGATAGCTTTAAAATATATTTTCATCTTTATTTATAAAGTTTAAAGCTTCAAAACTAATGTAGATAACCAGATCTATAAAAACTTGAAAATCTTGAAAATTGACAGTCCAAAAAAGCGTTATAAAATATGCTATTTTCAAAACTTGAAATCCATTTTTTTCTCATGTTCGTGCATCTTGATGTCGAAATTATCAATTTGAGGATATTTCAGCATCAAAACATCTTCTAGTGAAATTTTTGAGGGAGGCTCTTGATTGATTGTTTAGAGCCTTGGCTTTATATAAACTTTTCCCTTTAGACAATGAGACTATTTACTTTTCATACAAGGTGGTCACAATTACTTATCCGATATGAAATTTGATAGCTTGGATGTGTCACAAAGTTTGAAAAAATTTCTTTTGAAGTTTGAGCTTGGTCGATGAAATAATTGCAGACATCCAATTTCATATTCAGTATCGAAAATCTTTATGATAGCTTGAAAATATATTTTGATATCTAATTATAAAATCTAAAGCTCCAAAAATAGTGTAAGATCAATCAGAGCTATGAACACTTGAAAATCATAAAAATTGATAGTCTAGACAATACATTACAATATGCACTATTTCCAAGACTAGAAGTATTTTCTTCTTTTAACATCCATATATCTCAAGGTCAAGATGATCGGATTTTGAGGGTTTTTCTGCATCAAAACGACTTCTTCTAGTGAATTTTGAGCTGCACCTTAGTTTGATTGTTTAGTGCCTCAGCCTTGTATAAACTTTTTCCTTTAAGTAAATAAAATTGGGTAAACTTTCCATGTTTATCCATTACACATTTCGCCAAGAGTAATGTTGTTGTCCCCCATGGCCACCCCACCGGTGCTGGCGTTGGCGGCTTTCCAATCTCCATCTTTGTGGGGCGGTTAGTTCAAATTGCGCAATCTTCTCAGGGGTTTGCTAGAGTGCCATTCCGTTGTTTAGTTGGCCTTCGAATTTCTGCCATGGTGAAAACAAGGTGTAGCTAGTGCTTTACATTACATCCTTCATCCAATGTTGATGGGAGGGATCAACACTTTTGAGGTGCCTCACTGATGATGAATGGTGTAGCATCTGCTTCACCATACTGAATCTCTTTATAATTTTGTTATTTCCTTGTCAAACAATTTAAGAGTATCGCCGAACCAACCCATTTAAGACAACCGAATGATTCTGTCTTACAAACACAACACATTAGAATGGTTAATGCGACAACCAAAATCCCTGATTTAAGACAATCCGATACTTTCTAACTCGAATCTTCTGTGATCCGAAAAGCATTAAAATCAAATCCATACGAAAACATGGATGGCAGAGTGGTCAAAAGCTAGAATCCGTGTGAAACGAGCTACAGGGAAAGTTTAGCATACATGGGTCCAGTATGATATACCATAAATATCGTGCCATCGGCCATCAGTTGTCATCAGTGGACAGCAATGGTGGACTATGGTTCTGGTGATTTGGAACTACTACAGAGTAACATGCACATGACATGGAGATCAGGAACCTTGACAGCTTTAAAGACCAAAAAATGTTCTGACATTAATTCGATCTTGGTCCTCAAGCATTGTATGTATTGATCAACTTATTTTCCTTTTGCTTAATTTTAGATTGATTTATGGGAGATCGGAGAAGGCCTTGTAGAAAGCATAAAATACTCAATTAAAATACATTGAGACTTCAATTTCATAATTTCATTTGTGAGTTATGCATGAACCGAATGGCCTTTCTCACCAGTTTTAAGACTCTCCACAACGAATAAAGCATTGGAGTTCGTAGCAAGGCTGGAGCCCCGCTTGGGTCTTTTTAAGGGTCCAGACCCAGTCTGCGCAAGGCTAGGCCTAATAGATCAAGAAAAATAACGGAAACACAGGAATGGGCCGGTCCGGCCATGGTGGCTCAGCCAGGGCCCAACCCTCAGGGCAGGTCATATTCTGTTGCCCATGCCCTAATTTTTCAAGGCCAGGGCCTCCCTAGACCACCCAGCCCAGTCCCACCCTACACTGGAGTGGGTCATACATGAACTAAATTCCTTCTTCAACAGTTTTCCTTCTACAAATTGATAATGCTGATAAAACAAGTAATAGACCTTGTACCCTCTTGGGGAGCACAATGAAAACGGGTCGAAAAAATGTTAAGTCAGCTTGTGGGGGCTCTGAGGGAAGAAGGTCGAGTTCCAGGGAAAAAACATGTAAGATTTCTGGGAAAGTAAGTACGTGAGAGGCACAACGACGATTATGAGACACTTGCATGCCTGGAAAGTTCTTTCAAAACCTTCCGAGAAATGATAAAAGCAGACTGAATTAATATTAGCTTTGGTTAAAGGAAAACAAAAAGAGTTTTTTTTCTTTTTAAACAAAAGTCGCACCATTCTAGAAATCTTCTAAGAAAAAACTGAGCTCCTTTGAAGAAAAGTCGTCCAAATATAACTATGTTAACTAGGGAAGAACTAAAACAATTGGCAGAGGGATATCAACCATCAACTTGCAATATTAGTAGTAATCTAGTCACGCACACTGCTGCATTCGAGGAAACCACTGAATAACAGACAGAATCATCAAATATTGATACCCATATACATACAAGCATACAAACAGTCACACAAACAGACATGTTGACGCACACTTTATTTTTTAACCAATTTGCTTCGTTACTGCAGTTTCTAAATGTAAAATCTCGAAGGGGCTTTATATTTTAAAAACTCTTTTTTAGTGTTCTTTAAACAAAAAATCAGCTGCCAAAAGAATTCCAGACATTGAAAAATGAGATTATAACTCTATACACAGTTGAAATTCCAACAGTTACCCTCTGCAATTTCTGAGGGTGTGAATAATAAACAAATGATGACCACAGTCTATATGTACAAAGCTAACACAATCTACTGCATCCAGCATAGAGAGATTTATTGGAAACGAAATCTAGTAAAGAGTGCTTCGCCTCACACGACCAGCTTATCCTTGGCTGGTGCATCACCATCCATGGCATGGGATTTGCAGATGGGGCAGACATTTTTTAGCATTAGCCAGTGTTTGATACAGTCCGCATGATAATCGTGGCCACACTCTAGTGTCCCCACCTCATCCTTTTCCCTGTACTCTTCCTGTCAGACCAAATCAACACATAATATCAAGTCAAAGAATCATGCATTTCATGTTTTCTTTAACAAACACACACCACGTAGGTGTACATGCACATTACATATATTTAGGAAAAAATTCTACAAGCCAATGGGCTTATAGCTACAGTATCCAAAATGCATAGCTAGATGAATGTTTTTGGGCTGAAACATTGCAAATCAACTTTTATTTGAAAAATAAACAATCTCTTAAAAAAATGAATTCGAGTTCTCGAAGGCCTCGATCCACCAAACTAATGGACAGCCAGCGTACACCAAAAATATCAAACTCATTATGCCCTTCTTTTTGAGATTAACATGTGTGCAAAATTTGTGGTCCAACAGACCAACACTTTGAACTCCTAGGCTATAACATAAGCCCGTAGGCATGTTAATACATACATACATACACACATACATATATATAGGGAGTTATTTCATGTGACTGTCTTATAGTAATACCATAAAACACACCTTCAAAAAACACGTTTGGAGTACTTTTTTACTCCAATTTTCATATATACACTCAATTCACTATGATAAAAAATTTGAAAACGCACCATAGGAATTACATTTTTTAACCCAATGAACACAGGTCATCCATTTGATGAGATGATTAGATCTAGGCCATGGAGGGAGTCTCTTTTAATTCCAATTTTTGTAGATGGCCTCGTCAATATTAGATGAACAATTCCAAAAAACAAAAAATTGATTTTAAGTTCTTAATGTCCACCAAATGGACAATCTAGATTCATTGTTGAAGAGTGACTCATTTCGACCTTTTCTAAGGTGCAAATTCAATTTTGTTCTTTTTCGTATTGATTGTTGGGGTGAAAGAGTACCAAGTGCTTAGAAGAGGTTTCTTTATAATATAATATAATGATAACATATATCTATATATATATATATATATATATATATACCATCATCATCATGTTGGGGTTTTGTGGCCATTTAAAGGCATTATGGAAGCATGTATTGAAAATATATAATGAATTATTGATTCTAGTGGGAGTGTAGTCCAACTTGGACTGTAGGCCATTGATAATGCCTTAGCAGTGTTGGCAAAATCGAACCGGAACGGTAACCGGACATGGGCCTGGAAGCGGTTTAACTGGCCTAACCAGTAAACCGGCCAGTTAAACCGGCCGATTCAACCACTCTAACCGGGTAAGTCCTGAGCAGTCAAAAAAGCATTGAAAAAAATAAAAATATATAAAAAAAATCTACTAAAATATGAAAAGCATATAAAGAATCATTAAAGCAAAACACATTCAAATGAATTTGAAAATTAATGAAAAAAATGGATTTTAATTAAATGGATTTTAACCCATTTTATATTTTCCAAGGGCAATTTTTAAAATTTTCTAAAAAAGATGGGAAAATATAAAAGTGAGTATTAATGACCAAAACCATTTTTAATTGTTACCATAATGTAAAGAATATTTAAAATGCATTACAAATCAAAAATCCTTATTTTTAAGAATTTATATACATTTTTTTGAATTTTTTTTTTAAAAAGACCGGTTGATCACCCTAACCACCCAAAACCGGAACCGGCCACTGGCCGGTTCCGTTCTAATCGGGCGGTTAGCGGTTAGATCCTGACGATTTCGCAAACAATGTGCCTTAGACTCACATGAGTATTTACTAGCTATGACTCAATGTAAAGTCCAGAACCCGTAGTCCTGGGCATTGTGTAAGCAAAACCGATAAGGGTTTTGATGTGAGGTTATCCCTAGATGAGGTCGGAGATGTGCCCAGGACAGCTGACCAGGGAACATGGATTTGACCCTTGTGTATGATGGATGGCCTGAGAGGACAAGGGCCTGAATCCCTATCATTATCATCACATGGCATGTATACTAGATAGCCGTCTGGGAAGCGACCCTCATGGATGAGGGTGTGTGACATGCACATGTGCGAAAGAGATGACTCCCTACAACACTGGACTATGTTGGAAGGACCCATGGAGCATACTGCTGAAATGGGCCCTGGACTTGTCCTCAGGGAGAAACCTGTAATCTGTAGCCTAGGATCGTATCTTCCCACTTATTAGCTGACTTTGATGGTCCAATCATGAACCCTTACAATAGGTTATAGGTCATGGGATCGGTTGAGTCAGTTTGAAAAGGTGCAGTGAGATGCAGTCTCTAAAAATGATGGAGTCCTTAGTTGTCAAAATCCTAACTCTATAGATCCAAATCCCATCAAACTTTCTTATATACGTTTTAATTATTTTTTTGACAGTTAAAATGAATTTTTAGACCTCTCTAAGTATTTTATTTTATTGAAATATATTTTTAAATAGAGAAAAATCAATTTTCTACATTTATTTTAATCAAAAACAAAAATAAAATATTTAGAGGTTTTATTTATTATCTGAAAATTATGTTTAAGGTATGGGGGTCCCATTGGGTTCAATGGGCCCACCATATTATGGGGGTAGTGAGGCCCACAAGGCCACCCACCTCCTCCATAACCTTCCTAAATTGAAAGATGGCAATTATGCCATATGTTGACTTGATAGTTTAGGAAACTTTTTTTTTTTTAGAGATTTTGATTGATTTCAAATAAGAAGCTGTAAAAAAATAATTGTGATTGATTTCAAAATAGGAAGCTGTAAAAAATTAATTGTGATTGATTTCAAAATAAGATGGTGCAAGAAATTGATTGTGATTGATTTCAAATTAGAAATGTGTAAGAAGTTAATTTTGGTTGATTGATTACTTTCTCTACACAAAATATTTGATCATGATGGCTGATTTGGAAATGAATGGTTGTGATCTCTTCACCCCATAGGTCTCCAAGATCAAATGTCAAGATTAAACCTCATGATGATGGCAAAACCCTAACCACAGAAACCCTAGCCTCTTGTCTATAAATACTAGCTATGGGGTTTTTATTTCAAATCTCTCTCTCTCTCTCTCTCTCTCTCTCTCTCTCTCTCTCTCTAAGCAACCAAAGAGGGCACACCCCACTCAAGCCTTCTTTCTCTTCTTCTCTCATCCAAATTAGGGTTTAGGAAAGAGTTAACCCTAAGGGGTGGCACATCCAAGCCACATAAGCCTTGCCCTAGGTCCTTACCTCATGCTCATGTGTTGAGCCTTGGTCAAGGAATTCCCATGTGATGCTCTGCAAGGGTTTTGCCTAGGCTTCCCTAATTGTGAGGTGTGTTCTTGAACCAAGATCACGTGTGCCATCGGTGGAGGAGAACCGGTTTGGGGTGTACGAAGTCCTTGGGGGTAACTTGAGACAACATAAGCAGTATTTCACATTTCATGTTTCTATTGCTTCCTTATGTAGTTTTCAGTTCTACATGATGAATGTATTTAATGGCATGCAAGTGAGAGGTCTTGGCTATTTCATTAAGTCCAAGTTGTATTTTGGACACTTGTAAGTGATCCGGGTGGCAATACGTATAAAAGAGTAGAAAAATTTTAATCGGTATTAACTTGCCCGATCACCTAGTCCACCTTTCATATCATAGCTTTTTCCCAATTATTTCGGGTCGGCTACACGAATCCTGGTCTGCCAGTCTATTCTATTAAATGTCATACCCTCAATAAGGCCATAAGTCCCCATATCCTTTTGGGCTACTTCCAACCACATCCTTTTGGGCTTACCCCTTGCCCTTTCAATCCTTCCACTTAAACTAACTCACACCTTCTAACAAGTGTTGTACTAGGTCGGCATCATACATGGCCAGCCCACCGAAATCTACTCTCTCTCATCTTATCGCTGATTGGTGTCACACCTAAATCATTGAAACCATAAAGAGAATTTAATAAGGCAAAGCAAACTTGTTTGATGCACTAAACTAACACTAGTAGGTTGAAGAACAAAGGCATGCCTGGCATATAATGCAAGTTTCATACTCCTGGGCTACTGTTTCAGGCTTGTGTGCAGTAAAAACTTGTGTGAAGGAATTGAAGATTCTCATCTTCAAACACTTAGAAATGGATTCTTCCGATAACCCAGTGTTCACATCTCCAATACGCTCTTCAAGGGCAAGCAGTTCCTGCATTACATAATAAGAAAATCAAAAGGGCATCTTGCAAGAAACACATCCAAACAAAAGAAAAAACAGACTACAAAAATCTCCCAAGTGAATGTGCTTAAAACGCCACCTATATTGCAATGAACAGAGTACTAAACTTTGTTAAAAGTGTCAGTCTTTTTGAAAGGCTTCCAAAACAATGTTCCTGCTTTCATAATATGATAAAATTGATAACAATGGTCATTTTCAAGCTAAAGAAAAGAAATATATATATATATATATATATAGGGAAATGGGGAAATGCTATCATGTCACCATGCCATTATAATATGGGATTGTTTACAAAAAGACCATTTATCTTTTGTACATGGAGATCACAATCATTTCCACTCATTCGATGTCAAATGGGATGGCTTGGGATGAGTTATGAAGTCCGAGAATTTGGTTTTTGGAACTTTGTGTTCATTCAATGACACTCTTACAACCACTCATTTTGAAATTTAAGGGACAAGAATGATTGTGACCTCCAAGTACAAAAGATAAATGGTCTCTTTGTAGACAATCCCTTATGATATAATGAAACCACACTCTTAGAAAACAATGTTTGTGGTATTTGTATAAACCAAAATTTTGCACACACATTCTCTTCATCTCAATAATCAATCTAAAAAAAAATTAATTTACACCCTATAAATGTCCAAAATGAGTCCCCTCCAACAATGAATCTAGACCATCCATTAGGTGATTTTCAAGATCTAGGCCTTAATGAATTCAAAATCAATTTGTTCTTTTTTAATGTTGTTAATCTAATGATAATAAAGTTATCTAAAAAATTTTGAAAGAAAAGAGGCCCTTTTAAAGCCTAGATTTAAGTATCTCACCAAAATGGACGGCTTATGTTAACTAGGTTAAAATACAATTCTACGTTGTGTTTTCAAATTTTTCGTTTTTTGTGATTGTTTATTATAATCAAAAGAATGTATATTTTAAATTTTGGGTCAAACAATAGGCCCTAACATAGTTTTCGAAGATCGTTTATATAGGGAATGTCTATAAAGAGACTATTTACCTTTTATACAATGTCACAACTATTCGCACTCATTAGATGTCAAATTGGATAGCTTTGGGTGAATCAAGAAGTCTGAGAATTTTATGTTTGGAACTTTGTGTCTAATCAATTACACTTTTACAACCACCCATTTTGAATTCTAAGTGAGGCTGCTAAATTTATTACCTCATAAGACATGTCATCAATATCCAATCTCATATCCCTATGCTGATCATTCAAGCTTCCCAAGCCGCCATAGAATGCCGAGCGATCCACCATCATAACATCCTGTGTGCCCCAAATGAACCAAATATTATCAAATCTTACACTGAAGACCATAGTCACATGTTTTCTCTCAGCAATTACTCAGAAGGTGAAGAACTCAGACCCATCCAATTTAGCAATAAAAAGAAACAACTACTGGTAGAAACTCAAGAACTACCTATTCAAAATATCACAAAAGAATAAAAAATATGATTAGAATCTATTTTAATCCCAAGAAACCATATAACACATGGATAAGTTAAACAAAATTTAGTCGAGATTACCAAGTTTTTTTCCGTAAAGGAAACTCAATGCCCCAATACATACTTTACTTATATAACATTAACAGACGTATCTTGTCATTTTATGCATTTCTTTGAATTTGCTAAAAGTGGCATGCACTTAGCAGTTAAAAGTGGCAAAACTTCAAAAATAGAAATCGGAAAGATTTCTGCAAAGAGAGCACGAAATCCCTAAAAATAGGATACAAAACCATAAAAAGCTAAGCTCTTAAATGTAGCATTCAATTCCCAAAACACACCAAGATAATCTCAGTATTTCCAAGTAAATAGAATTTTACCCATTTCGGAATTTACTCATGAGAAGTAAGCAGGTTTTACAATAACTGTAAAACTTGCCGAGTCTTGTGACATCTCTCAAGATAGATGCATCCGTTTTTCTACATACACTAATATCAAAGGAACAAAAAAGGACAGAAGGCTCACCGGCAGCTACTAAAGAAAGAATGTGAAAATGGGGAAAAATGCTCAGCTACTCATTTTAAAGAACGAGAGAAAAAAGAGCCTCACCTCAGAGATCATCCTTGCACGTCCATCAGCATGAGGCAGTTGCAATGGTCTCTGAAAAGACAAGGTAGCAAGAGGTCTAGCCAACCTCTCAGTGAACGATCTAGTATATCTCCATCCATCCCGATAAGAGTTTGAAAGGTGTGGATGAAATTGGATATGGTGGTTGTTTGGGTTCATAGTATGCGTATTGGCTGGTGCAAAGAAGCTGTTATGGCCTCCTCTCATGGCCTGCAAAGGTGGAGGTTGGTGATGGTGGAGATGGGGGTTCAATGGTGGAGAATGGCAGAAGTTTCCAATAGGCATGGCCTCACCACCTGCCATCTCTGTTGGACCAGCACTTGGGATGCTTCTTCCTGCCACAAACCAGTTGGGTTCCTGATTCAGGTTTCTGCTTTCTGCACACAAATTTTAGTTTCTAAGCGTTAGAAATGGATAGGGATTTTGATTGTAGGCAAGGGGCAAAGTGAGTGCAGGATTGCCACTTGAACTTCTCTTGTTTTGCTTTTTTTGGTGGGATTTTGTGGGAGGGTAGGCATGTGTACGTGTGTGTGAGAGAGAAAGAGAGAGAGAGCAATGGGTGGCCGAATAACCACTTGTGCTATATTTTTAGCTTTTATTTTTTCCTAAGCAGAAGGGATAAGAATCAGCAGTTCCTACCTCTCCATGTTCCGGAATTGAGTCTAACTACCAAGGTGGAATAATTAAATTTGAAGAGTTGGTTCTATTTTTTATGTTTCTTCAATCTCCAAAACCTCCAGAAAAAGCATCTTGGGCAAATGCACAAATGCATGCATATTGAAATCTTATATGCAAAGGAAAACCAAAAGCTTTCCTCCAAAATAAAGGTTTGCTTGATAGGGTAATAGAATACTACGTTACAAACAGCCAGTCCTCGACATCTCCTAGCAAACTCAATGCATTTTTCAAAAGCCAGGTCATGTTTACAGTTTCCAATGGGCGGAATATTTTTAACAGAAATATTTTCTAGAAGAAAAGCTAGTGAACCATCACTGTGAGGTCTAACAACACTTCAAACCAGTAGAATTTCAACCTTGTAACCTCAAACAGGCTCACCTGAAGAAACATAGGTGATTTTGAAAGCAACATTGTGTTGGTTTTTAGAAGAAAAGATAGTGTACCATGGCTGTAAGGTCTAAGAAAACTTCAAACAAGCAGAATTTCAACCTTGCAACCTCAATAGGCTCGCCTGGAGAAACAACAGTAATTTTGAAAGCAACACTGTTTTGGGTTTTAGAAGAAAAGATAATGTACTATAGCTGTAAGATCTAACAAATCTTTAAAGAAGCAGAATTGCAATCTTTTAGCCTCAATTGACTCACCTGAAGAAACAGAGCCCCAGATTCTCCTGTGCAAACCAGGTAGCACTGGTAAATTACTCCAACTAGAACCTGTTCCATCACCACTCCTCAGGGGCTCCACCCAAGGGTCGCTCCCAGAAGAGACAGAATGACCATAACTTCCTTGGAAACGATCAGAAGTCAAAGCTGTCTCAGGATAAAGATTGATGCCAGTAGATCTGCTCCTGACGCTTCTCTCCGATCCTTCTACGATAGAAAGGGCAGCACTTCCCCTGTAATCAAGAGACATACCCGTTCTAGACCCTAATGCTTCTTCCCATTGTCTCATTCCATTTACAGTGCCAGATGAAGAGCTTGAAGCACCATGATGCATGCCTGAGTTGCTGCTACTCCCTTCACAAACAAATGAGCCCATTGGCCCGGGATAAGAGTAGTCACCACCCATGCCTTCTACACTCTTTCTTTTGCATGACCCTCTTCCATTGTCCATAAAATTATCTGCTCTATTGAACTCCTCTGCCCCAATTCCAGTAGTGTTCCTGTGATTCAAAGCATGATTTGGTGGAATTGGACAGAAGGGCCCAGCAGCTGAATGAATTATGTATGGATTGTAGGGCAATTCAGAAGGAGCAATTCCCAAATTTGGAGGAGTAATAGGGTGATGGTATTCGTTTTGATTAAAATAACTGCTTGGGTGTCTTTGTGGATTGCTCAAATCAATGTTTCCCGGAGCTGATATTCCTGGATGGTTGCTAGAGCTTGGAATATCCATAAGTGCACCCAAGAAAATGCAGGGTTCAGGGCGCAGATTGCTCTGTCCTGGTTCCATTTCTACATCAAACATTTGAGCCGAGCACAGCACATTTCTTTGTCCTGCATTCATTGGATGTTGCATTGCTCAAGAGTACCTATTGAGAAAGAAAAAACCAGCGTTTACTCTCTAGAAAATACAAACTACATAACAAAAGAGAATAAATATCACAAGCGAAAAAATGGAAGCTCCATTGTGTTACCAAAGAGAAAAACCAACTTGCTATTGCAAAGAAAGATCATATTATCAAAAAATCCACTTTCAAAAGAAAAGCTAGCACATATACAAACAATATTTACTAGCCTTATCATATTGCCCTTTACAAAAAAAAAGAAAAAGAAAAGGGATAATATATGAATCATTCCCAATGTTCATGGCTCTAGTTGACACTAGGAAATGGCTCTAGTTGACACTAGGAAAACCAAGGTAAAGTACCTTTATTTTATAATGTAAGTAAGATTCTTCAACAGAAAGGTTGCAACGTCTATGATAAATCCTTCTTAGAATAAGATTCAAAATGGTAGTGCTTTTTTATTTAAGAGGAATCAGTGTGATGCCTAGACAACACACTTAACTTAATTATTTGGAGTTGCTAAAACTGAAAGGCTTTGTAAGACGCAAAAAGTAATGTATACATTGTTTGCTTATCTGTTATTGCCTAGTCAACATCTAATGGAACTTTCTTTGTGAATAGTTAAAACAATAAGCAAACTACCCTAAATGTCACCTGAACTACCAACAATAACAAAGAAGCACTCCAAGACCCCGAGCAGTACATCCTATATTTCCTATTAATTCAAAATTTCCATTCTGGAGTGCAATACATCTCCAGATTCTGTCAGAAATAATCTTTTCCGATTTTGATGAATCAACACCTATTCCACCCTTGCACATGATGAGTGCATCGAAATGAGCGTCCGTCTTAAATTTTATATATTATTTTTATTGCAGAGACAGGCAAACTTGCTGGGTATGGATCAGTTACTATATGATTACCGACGAGTGGAATAAAGCGGGAACAATATGCTGACCTACTTGGGCAGGATTAGGGCCGGAGTGATGTTTGCCAGACCTGATACGTAAGCTAAAAGCATCAGTCCCGATCTGGGAGAATCCGACATCCAACACACAAAACGTGTGCTGTTCTGACAAGACATGCATACAGACATGGGACATCCATGTCAACATGTGTCTAGAAATTTGTGGTTTACAGATGCCGAGATATAGCGTGTCTGCCATGGGGACACGGGATTCCACAAATTGGACAAAGAAAACATGCATGATTGTTTTGTACGACACTTGTGTCCACATAATTGGGTGCATGTGTCTGTGATTTGGGATTTAGATTCACATGCTTTAGTTTAACCAAATTTTATTATTAAAGTCCCAAAAAATTTTATATATAAATATATATAGACACGTATAGGTAGGTGAGTTGCATTCTTTGAATCCAAGTCAGATACAGATACTGGTATGCATGTGTAACATAGGCCCAAAGCCAGCCCAGAGCTTAAAGTATTTGAACCCAAGTCTGGAATGTAAGGTATAAGATTCAACCCAATACAACCCCAGCCTGATGACTGTAAATGCATAGGGTTTCTTCAAGGAAGGGAATGGTACTATGAATGCAGAGTAGAGCTAACCTATGCAAAAGAAATTCTCATTATTTGCTTACAAAACATTTCCATCCTATAAGTCTACCTTCTTTGGTAAATTCCAGAATAAGAAACTTCTTATTTATCTTCCAATGGAATAGGAAAATTTCCTAAACAGTAGGGGACATCTCCAATACTTCTCAAATTTTAATTACCCTCCTATTAAAAGAAATCATAGCATTTTCCTTACCACTAGTTAAGGAGTTATTCAACCATAATTTGATTTCTGCAATAGGAAGGGAACTCCCGAATCACCATCTTATTAAAATAGGGAACTTCCCTTTTAGTAACAAACACAGCACTCTGTGATCTCATAAACATTTTAAACCCATGGACGTATTCACAAAAGCCAACCACTACTTTAAAACTTCAATTTAAACAATTTACATTTCTTTAAATGAGTTCAGCATATTCATTGATACAAAACTCCTCTCACAAGTCACAATGAAGATGCACATATAAATGTAGGTGTAGGAACAGATAGGCTGAGCCACCAAGTCAGGCCCTAGCAACCTAGCCCAGACAGTGCAATGGACCTCAACATGCAGTCCAAACCCAAACACTCGCAGGCCCTGCCTACTGGGCCTGCTGGGCAATCCTAGACCACTTTCAGCCATAGAGATGGACAAACATTTTATATTAAGAAAATAAAAACTAGACCAGTCATGTACACCTCGAAAAAATTAACTCATATAACTTACGCCAATTCAAACCCCATACGATATCTCTTCAGGATTGACCAACTACTACCTATTTCAAGATCAAACGAACTCTCTGTGCCCCACAAGTTATTGGGAGGGATAAATGTAGTAATAACAGGCCGATCCATTACATAAGCAACATCTTAACTCATATCTGGACGAAGTAACTCTGGTCTTTGAATTTAACTATAAAATAAGTATAATTACAAGAACATAATCTTACTTTGGAAACTGAAGTTGTAAAACTAAAAATAAACAAGAAAAACCAAAGGTGGAAGATCACATGCGAATATTTCTATACACCTCAGCTGACCTATGGGTTGTCCTTGAGACATACCTGACAAGAGAAAAACCAAAGGTGGAAGATCACCTGAGAAGAGAAAAACCAAAGGTGGAAGATCACATGAGAATCAAGTGTCCTATGGGTTGTCCTTGAGACAAACCTGAGAAGAGAATGCTTCTAACAATTGACAACATGGCCTCCAAGAGAGTAGGCACCATCAAGACCTCTAAAGCATTCAAACTTATATAAGTCTCTTCTCAGGCGAAAATCAGTTCTAGATGATGGTATATAAGTCTCTAGTCAGGCAAAAATCAGTTTCAGATGATGGATCTTGAACATTTAAATACTTTATAGGTCTTGATGATGTTGTCTACTCTCTTAGAGGCCATGTTGTCAATTGTTAGAAGTGTTCTCTTCTCAGGTATGTCTCAAGGACAACTGATAGGAAAGTTGATTCTCTGCTTGAGGTGTATGGAAATATTCGCACGTGATCTTCCACCTTTGGTTTTTCTTGTTTATTTTTAGTTTTACAACTTCAGTTTCCAAAGTAAGATTAAGTTCTTGTAATTATGTTTATTTTTTAGTTAACTTTAAAGACCAGCATCAAATGTCACAAGAACTCTAGTTGGATCATGGTTGCAACACTGCATGAACTAAAATTTTGAATCCAGCAAGATAACTTGTTATGACACAATAAATGGGGGATTAGAGTCAACACTTTTAGGAGATGTAAGCACCTCATACACATCCCTCAGAAGAAGTGTATTCCATATATAGATCTGGAATGATGGCAAAGATTGTGCAGCAGAGAACTATAAACCAAAAGGCAAAACCATCCTCTTTTCCCACTGGAAGAAAGTTTTCATAGTCAATACCACGATCGATAAAACCTTGAGTAATCAACAAGCTTTATGCTAGACAATGGATATACATATATATCCATTCCCAAATCCCAATATTCCAACGAATGGACCAAATGCCACATGTCAGTCACTTTGGTCCAGAATATGGTAATACCTCTTGCATGACCTCCTGCCAAAATTGGAGAATTACCCATTGTTTGAAATTGGCTCAGCAAATATAAGGAAGCTAAAAGAGTACATTAATTTGGTAAGAGATTCTTAAAAATGATATTTGCACGGAGAAATATATAGATAGATCAAAAAACTCTTTGGAGCAGCTTAATCCATCAATGATTTGATTTAGATGAGGATGCAAGCGAGTTTAAGCATGGATAAATGATAGTGCAACACAACACACTTTCTTCTTTGTATTGGTGATACCTGACACCTACCCGTGTAAAGTTATGGTCAAGTTTTCTGCTAATGCTAACAGAATAAAAGATGGCACGCCTGGAGGATGATTGGATAGACCAATAACATATTATGTTCACAATAAAGGTAAAAAATCCATTGGTTGAAGGTAAAAAAAAAAGGACGAAGAGTCTAAAAATCAGAAAAACTTGGGAGAAATTCCAAAAAAGCCCATCAGTAGAGTCCTTTCAAGGAAGAAAAAAAAATTTAATATGGCACATGATAAGACATGAATACAGTGCGCAGGGGATCATAATTATCAATTTGTCATCATATGAATGATGTGTCAAAACAAAACCATTATCTAATTCATGAAGAGGAAACACAACAATGCATACAAAATATAGCCAAATTGTTATTTTTAACAAGTGACTAGAATCATATTGTTGGTGATATACTCTTTCCATAACACTTTGTAGAATAATGACAAGATCTTCAATGTATGATGCTTCACTTTCAATGAGAGATTAAATGTTGACAACATGAAACCTACCTCCAAATCTGAATGTCTGCATGTAGGAACTTTTACTTTATCTAGGATAGAGTTTGACTATATGCACAAATGTTTAAAAACCAGTAAACGACATATTTAATCAGAATTGAAAAAAGAAAAAAAAAATCTTTTGATGCATTCAATTATTTATAGAAAAAACCATGTTTTAGATACCAAGCATGCCAACACGCATGCATCATAATGGAACAAAGCAGATATTCGTAACTTTTGAGGATAGAAAGTTCTTTTCTTCAGGAAAAACAAGTACCTAAATAACTGAGGTTAATGTTGTCAGTTTATAATATATGGGGTGCCATTTTATCGATAGAGACAGGCTGGCTAATATGAGGAAGGTGAGGGGAAGATTGGGTCTATGCCTATTGCGCTTCCTTAATGGGTATTGCTTCAGTAACAAATCATCCTTAAGGGCTGAGGGCTCTCTTCAGTGACATTCTTTGCTAATGAATAGTTTACAATATAAGAGAGATTTGTAGCTCGTGCAATTAATACCATCCAAAATATTTTCGATTTGGAGGTGAGCAAAAGAAGAAATACCAAGATAGCGACGGTTGAATTCCATAAAATCAACAGTTCCAAAATCTAATATTGGATAGCTTTTAAATAAATTTAAGTGCATTTCCAGATAAAAAAGAAGGAAAAAACACATACCAGAGGGGGTGCCACCATGAAAAACCAGATAAAAGAGATGCAGCACCTTATATCTTTTTACAATCAACTTTCCGGTCACAAAATCCTGCACAAGAAAATCACATTAAGGGAAGGTAAATCCATTTCTTTGGAATAAGTTTTTCTTGGAGATGAGGTTCGTAGCTAGTTTAGTAACACAAGATTCCAGGTAAGTCAAACAAGAAGTAACAGAAGAAACCAATCAATGGTAAGCAACTATTTTGTCTTGTCAGTAATCGGTAAGAGCACCTTGATAAATATGAATGTCCTTCATAAGTATAAGGAAGATAAATCCAAGACTGGCTACATGGAAATAAGGGTGTTCTCAATGGATAAGCAATCTAGAGCAGGCTGTCCACTACCAAGAAAAAGCTTTTAATAATAAGATCTCTTGGCCACTTCATATGTTGGTCGATGTTGACAAATTTGAAGGGAAAAATTTTTGGAGGCTAGGCCAACATGGTATTTTTTTCATGGATATAACAACGTGATGTTAACTAAGGTTCCTAGGTCACTTGTGCCAATTAGCAATATATATGTATATTACTTAACAATACTAGCATTAAATCTCAAGTAATTTCATACATTGGAAAACAGTAATTTCATACATTGGAAAACACAGAATGAGGAATGAAAGACAGGAAGCATTCAGCGGTAACTACAGCAAGAACTGAAACGTCAAATGTTTCATTGGCTTTCAGGAAACCAAGAGCGCCATGTATGACTATTGACAGTACCTATTCCCATAATACTTTTGCAGAGGCATCAACATGGAATCAATGGATGGCATTTAACTAACATGTAAATGGAACCATGTAATCAAAAAGGGCATTTCACCATGTGAGCAAATGGAACTATTTTGATTGTAGAACTGCAGAAACTTACCAGGGACTCCTTTGAAAAAAGCTGACAACATCATACCTCTTGGAGCTGAATAAAATACTCAAGCAAATTGATCACCTTGAGATAAGTAATGTCAAGAAGATTCAAGAACATGATTTATTTGGTGACCTTCTGCAGAAACTTTGAAAGGTAAACTCAGAACAGACCCCATATCAATCAATATGATTGAATATGTCAGGATCATAAAATTCCTACTATCCACAAGTGCTTACTTTGAAAAGTAAGCATGTTCAGTTTCACTCTCAGCTACCGCATCATCGATATGGCCATAAAATTCTTTTTCAACACGACACTTTTCCAAACGAAAAGACCAGCATGCAAAATGCCTGCAACCAGACATGAGGAAAATGGCTTCTGATCACCGCACCAACCATAGAAAACAACAAATGATTTGGTGACAACTTTATTGCTCCTAAAAGATAGGATCTACGTTCTAAGAAGTGTTATTTCTCAATCTTCAAACTCCAAGTCTAATTACCTACTCAAAAAGGGGAAAAAAAAAGACTTCAAGTCTCTAGTAAGGTCCTATTCTAATATGAAAAATGTCATTTTCTTGGAAAGTTAGAAATAGAAAATACGGCAAAGCCACTTTCTGAAAAGTTAGAAAATAGAGCAAAGCAACCTGATCCATTCTAAAGTGTATATATATACATATATGTATATATATATATGTATATATATATATATATATATGGGAATCCCTAAAGTGCACCCACTAGCTTTCTTCTACAATAAACGCTCAAGGGCCCAGATTTGGCCTGTTTGATGGTCATGATTGTATTTCGTATTTGTATTTTAATATTTTTTCTACAAATCTAAATTAGTTGAAATTTGGAGAGTCCACTCTTCTCATTAAGGTGCATCTAAGAAAAATATTTGAAAAACAATTTACAAAAAACAAATTTTTCAGGGGTATTTTGGTCAATTTGTGAATTATTTTTTAATATTTTTATTAGGAGCGCCTATTTTTCAAGAGTATAAGCAGAAATTTCAACTAATTTGGATTTGTGAAAAATTAAAATTAAAATTCTAATATGAAACACGATTTGTGACCATCGAATTGGCCCAGATTCAATCTGAGCTATAGGGATTATACAATTGCATCAGCCATGGGCTGACAGAATCTTTTTCTTAAATAAGGACAGAGGTAATTTCAGACATTATAATCATGTTTAGGACTATAATGGCCATTTTGACACTTTGATAAATCTAAAATAAGGAGCATACCACTGTGGCCATTTCAAAATTTAAGGCTTAACTTGAGCCTTTCAAGGAAAAAGTAAGAAGGGGAACATGGTTCATTACTGAAGATTCAGTGAGACCCTGCTTGATTTTATGGGAAAAAAAAAAGGTATCGAAACACAGTGTAGTCATTTCTAACATTCACGAGTGACCTCATTAATAGTTGACAAAAAAAACCATGAAGACATATCAGTGAAAATGAAGATTAAATGAATTTTTTTATTGTTGTGGGTAAGGCTTTAAGAATAAAAGCCTGTCCAAAGTGGAAACTAGGAAATCCAGTATTAGTTTGCTAGTGTCATGATTTCAGGTTGATGTGTTCATAAATCAACCACGACCTGACCTCCCCAGACCCACTTACAGCACCCAGTCAAGTGGCTCCAAGAAATCAGTCATCTGGAAATAAAATTTGAACATATAATAACCCTTTACATCTACAAGTATAAATGTCAGATACAGAAAGAATCACAATGAAACATCTAAAGTCCAACTTTTACAACACTCATCTAATATCATGACCCTCAAAAGGATATGAAAAAAGGCTTGATTATATGACCCTGAAGAAAGCTCCAGAGAAAGAAACAGTACTACATTATCACATCACAACATGAGGTGCGATAAGAAGAGACCACGATCGGAGAATAATCCATTAATGAAATCTCCAGTGTCAACATAGGCATACTATCCAAGACTTTTCATAAAGGGCAGTAAGGTTAGTGATATAACTAAAGCCAACTAGAGAATTGATTAATGCTAAAGTCTGAATTGCCTTATTCAACAGAATTTGCATGAAGAAGAAATTAAAATCAACTCAACAAATTAAATTACTCCAAGATATTTTCCAAAACCTCAGGGACATAAAAAGTGAACTACAATACAAGAAAATAATATTTGATATACAGTATGAATCAAAAAAAATTGTGTCAATTTCCAAAATAATAGATTATTCAAAAAATGACTGAGAAAGATGATTTCTATAAGAATAAGATAAGAACAATATTCACCTTCATACTTATATCTCAAGTATAATCATGCATGTCAAAGTTACCTAGAAATGATCGTTCCACAACATAGCAGAACATGCAAGACTTGCAAGTCAGATTTCCACCAGTGAAATAAATCATGTGTGAATTGTTACACGTGCATTGAAATGATTATGCCAGTTGTACAAGTCCCTTATCGCAAGATTTGAAACCCACGGAGTTAGAGAAGTCATGAATGATAAAAAGCTTGGCATGGAGAGAAAGAGCGAGAGTACAAGGGAGAGAGAGAGAGAGAGAAGTGTGCGATAAATAAGAGGGGGTGGCACGCCAAACCCTAATCTAGGGTTTTATTGTTTGGAGAGAGGTACGCCCAGCCTAAGATGCCCTAATTTGATCCTATGGGGTTCCTACAAACCCTAGTTACGTTTTAATGCTCTCTGTAACCCTAATTTAAGAGGTATAGCATATGAAAGCTTCACGCCTCTAAAACTCCGGCAAGATCAATGGGATAAAAAGTGCATCATGGGATACGAAATTGGGTGCGGGGTGCACCAAGTCTTATGGGGTATCCCTAGGCACAATCAAGTAAGTCTTCCCGGCTACTTTTATTTTTCAGTCATATTTCCATTTTACTGTGATTTTTCGGGAACATATTTTGTACTTAAATTGATAGTAGAAGGTTGAATTTTGTTCATGGATTGTGTTTATTTGTTTTGGCAATAAAAGGAAAGATCTTAGGTTGTATTTAGAGTTTTATTTCTGTTTACAGCTGTGTATTGTGGCACTTGTAACTGGAATTCAGTTTCATTAATAAAGAAAAGAAGATTTTTTTTAAATTATTATTATTATCTTGAATTCCACACAGCCACTCCTTTCAATTCGTGCACATTTCGAGTGGCTTGTGGAATTCAAGATCGATAAGGATATGACGCTACCTAATGGCCATCGAAAGAGATGAAAATTTGCAATTTTTGCAGCCCATGCCATAGAGTCAAAGAAATGGTTAGTATAATAAAAAACGGCACAATGACCAGAACATTTGAAGAAGCATACTATGATAATTATTATACTAGCAAATCCATAAGCCAGAAGATCCATGGATGAATCCGATTGAGGATTTTTGGGCCATGGAAGGATAGGAACAAACATATTATTCAGGAACTACTAATCCACAATGCCAATAAGTGGGTACACCATCAAAAGAATAATCATTAGGACACTTGAAAGATTCATTGTGAAGAATATCCACTAATAAATTTTAAAGATTTGAGGTTGTTTTGATTTTAAAGATTTTTGGCGAAAAACCAAGCTTTGTGCTAGAGTGATTCCAAGAGAAACAGTTTCCTAATTAATAATTCTAATGCTTAACACGTGTTCTCAAATTGTACATCGTGTTTGAACATGTACAATTTGTCTTTTAGAAAATGATGCCGTTCAATTGTGAATCTTTTGGTAAAGATATCAACAATTTGATTATTTGTCCTAATGTGTTCTATTTGAATCAGTGTTGTTAAATTCACTTCACGTCAGCTGAAGAGGCCAAAGCCTTCGGATTTTAGGCCTAGACCACAGCAAAGCGAAGCCTCGTGCTGCCGCTTCGGTCAAATTCAGGCCGCTTTGGTCAAATTCGGGTAGATTCGACCGAAGTTTTGGCCTCTTCGGCCCAAGCAAGGAAATATCTATATAAAAATATTTTTTGACTTTTTTGAAATTTTATTTTCGATTTTTTCATTACTTTTGGTGTTGTCGCTTCGATTAGATTAGGGCGTGCTTTAGGCAAATTCGGCCAAAGCTTCGACCTCTTCACCCAAGCAAAAAAATATATGTTTAAAAGTATTTTTTTATTTTTTTTGAAATTTTTATGTTAAATTTTTCATTATTTTTTGTATATTTTTATATATAAATCTCTAATTTATTTATATTAAATTAAAAAATATCTGAAGTCTTCTCCCGAATTGGCCGCAGCACCGAATTGCTTCATTTTTCTCACCAAATCGAAGAAGACCGCGAGGCAAATCTGACAACATTGATTTGAATTGCCTCTTCTTCTATCTTCTCGAGCACAAAATGATAATTGATGTCGATGTATTTAGTTGGATCATGAAATATAGGATTAGCTGCGATAGCTAGTGCACTTCGATTATCACAAAACTTTGTTGAGCATTGTACCTTATGCCCGAGTGATATAATCATGTTTAGTATCCAAGAAATATCTGCTACAACACTAGCTAATGCTCTGCATTTAATCTTCTTTGCTCGATCTTGCCACAAATTATTGCTTCTTGCTCCTCTAGAATACCAAGGGGCTGTTTGGATTCCTGGAAAAATATTTCCAATTTCCGTCGTTTCGATAAAAAAATCTCGAGCAGAAATTCTTTTTCAACCAAAATTGTTTTTCTTCCCATTATCATCATCAAAACCTTTCCCCAACTAATTGGGATCGGCCACACAAACCATGGTTTGTCATTCTGCTCCATTAAGGATCATACCTTCAATGAGGCCATAAGTCCCCATATCTTTTCTCATTACGCCCAACCATGTCCTTTTGAGCTTACCCCTGGCCTTTTCTAGCCTTCCACTTGAACTAACATGCACCTCCAAATAGGTGTCGTACTGGATCTGCGTTGCACATGGCCAGCCCACCTAAGTCTACTTTCTCTTATCTTATCGTTTATTAGTGCCACGCCTAAATTCTCCCGAATGTATTCATTTCAAAGTATTCATTTCAAATTCTATTTCTTCTTGTCTTCCCACTCATCCATCTCAACATCATCATAATACATTCATCCTATGGATATGTTGCTTCTTGACCGCCCAACATTCTTCCTCATAAAGCAAAGTTGGTCTCATAGTTGTCCTATAGAACTTGCCCTTTAGCTTCATTGGTATGCGGCGATCACATAAAACACCAAATGCACATCTGCACTTCGCCTATCCAGCTCTAATTTTATGTGCGACATCTTCCTCAATATCTCTATTTCTTTGATTATCGACTCAAGATATCAAAAGTGCATTCTTTTGGTATTTCTTGACCGTCAATCTTAACTACTTCCTCGTCTCTACTCCTATTATTACTAAACTGACATTCCATATACTCTGCC